TGAATAAACCCAGTCACGAATAATATGTACCCTAGCTACCCAGGAAAATAAAGATTGGATGGACGACTGTAGAAAGAATAAAAAATTCCGAGGAATAAATTCCACTAGCATCAGAACATCCAGCATCACCCCGTCGGGTCTTTGTTAAGAGCACACAATCTGTTAACTGAGTTGTAGGAACTCGGCGCTGGGCTTTTGTACATCTGAAAACTTTTTTTCCTTTAAAAAACGGACGTTTAGAAATATTATCAGAATTACCCCTTTGGCAAGGGATCACTACTTTGTTATAGCACTTTCCTTTCTTGTTTCCTTTGCTATTTTTTAATTTTTCCCGCTTTTTGCTACTATTCGTTGCTAACTTTTTCTTGATATGTTTTCTTTGGATACACTTACGGTTTCCACATATTTGCAAATCGTTTAAAAAAAGATAACATGTTAATTCATTTAATTCGATATCGCAATAATACGCAAAAATTCATTAAACAAATTGAGCTTTCCGCTTGTTGTGATGCTTCATATGCCTCTTCATTGCGCGACTTATTCTAAACATTCTCGAGCATCCAGGCCACATACATTGTATCGAACGAGTCTCGTTGTGAGTTTTTTTGTGGTGTTCACGGAGAGTTTTTGTTGCAAACGTCTGATTGCATCCTTTATATACACATCGAAATTTACCTGAATGTGAAATACTAGCAATGTTTAATAGCCTACGCATTCAATGAGAAACACACTGTTAAAGTGCTTGTTTTGAATTTCAAAGATTAAAAATATCCCTATGGACCAGTACAAAAATATTACTGTGGATCAGGTAACAAGACTGTTAGCAAGCGTATTTGAGCGTAAATTCGTCTTTCCTAGTCATCAAGGCATCTTGCTCTTGAAATAGTCAACTTTGAGACGGAGTGATAATACCCAACATACATCGATGACCTCTCGAAACAGCCAACGCCTGGCAAAATGCTCCTATCGAAAAAAAAAAAAAAAGATGAGCTGGTAATTCCTCCAGAAACAAATGGACGCTAGGATCGCATTAGTGCAATGGCGACTGAGCGATGCAATACTGGGTAAAGCTACTAGGAAATTTTTCAGATGCATAGTGGGGGAACGATACTAAGAACAGCAGCTGATAAAAGATCAGTAACACAAGCTTTATCCTGCTTTCCTATTGGAGGGTTGAGTTTTAGTACCGATTTCTTGGATCTGTTACTTTGGATTACTTTATTCACACATGCTCACATAAAAGCGTGCACAGACACACACCTGCAAAAACCTCACCATGTTTATTAAAATGCATTAAAATCAAATGACTTTTTACTTACTCCCAATGCTATGAATATTGCTGTAATGAATACTGAGTGACCTTTTCGTCCAGAAGTATTGACTGCAAACCAGGCACTTATGTGTAGCAATTTTAGGATGTTCAATCGTCAGATGTTCGAAGTAATGCTGGTGAAGGTTTTGCCAGCTTGAAAAATTTTTGCCACACTTTAGCCAATAACAACGAGTTTCACCTTGCTGATTGTGCCTTCTGAGGTGTCTTTTGAAAGATTTGAATGTTACTTTGCGACTCTCACAGCTGACACTACTGCATCGGAATCTGGCTATAGCAGTTTCTTGAACTCTTTTTTTCCGGTGGCTTGCAGGTTTTCGGGCAATGTTTGGTCCTGAAGTTGTAAAAGTTTGCGTATCAAGAGCATCATATAGACTGGACACATTTGTATGCTGTAGCTCAGCAGTGATTTGCTCAGCACTAATTCCCAGTGTATTTTTATGTAACTCTATTTCCAATAATTCGCTGCCGGATTGGGCCGCAAGCAAACCATCCTCACAAACCAAAAAATGTTCTGGATTCGGTATCTCTGTTGTCCGAATACTTGGAAAAAATTCGGTATCTCTGTTGTCCGAATACAGTATGCGCACTATCACAAACCAGTTTTCGCTGGAATAGTATGTCCAACAGTACATCTGGTGACTCGAAATTCACTCCACTAGATAAAAATTCCGGATCCGTAAACTCTGTGGTGACCGATGACACATCCGTGATCAAACCATTCTCCTGCTCGACGTGTTGTTGAGCTGTATCGATCACCGTGTTTGGTGATTCCTCGAAATCCACTTCATTAGATAAAAATCCTGCATCCACAAACTCCGGAGTACCTAGAGACATAACCGAGTTCAAATCATTCTTCTGTCCGATGTGTTCTTGAACTGTATCGGCCACCGTGTTTGGCAACTCAAAATCCATTTCATCGGATAACATATCACGCAGATCCGAAAATACATGGAAAATCGGCAGGGCTTGCCAGCCTAAACCTCTTTCCTGCTGCTTCGCAACTGTTCCATTCTGGGCTATTACTGGAGGAAAATTTGTCGAAATGAAAAAAATGGGAAGAGCCGTCTGGAATAGCAAGGCCATCATTCAGAATGGTTCAACACAGGCAATGAGGGCGACGACGAAATTTGTCCGTCGCGTAATAGTGGTAGGCTTTTTAAGCTGCTCTGAAACCTTGCATATTGAGTATTGCACTCGTGTGGTAGGCGTACGACAGATGCCTCTCAGTTCAGATAAAATCAAAAGCTAAAACCTCCCACTGTACTGCTTTGCGAGAAACACTCGGAAGCTTTCACGGCAGAAGTAACAACAGCAACTACCTTCTGGCAGGCTCGTCAACCGCTGCTTCTCTTGAGGACTGTTCGCAAACAAACTGATGTTGGGCTTGACTCCCTAATTCATGCCACTACCAGTGTGCCATCGAAACGGGCGAATGAATCAAACAGGAGTTGATTATTCGATTTTTGGAATCGAACCTTGACCCTCTGTATAAGTGTAGCAGGTATTTAGTAGAAACTTTTGCGCAAATGCATAGAAAAACTCAGTAATTTTAACCCGCATGAATGCATCGTAAGCCCCGTGTGCGCCACTGTGGTTTAGTGTTTATTTGTGCAAAATTGGCTCCAGCGAAGAAATTAAGCAGCTATCGTAAGGCACAGGTCCCTTTTGGAGCATTTTCTTCTTAAAAAATACTCCACTATGTTCTTTTCTCTTATTACTTCAAATCGTTTTCAAATTTTCTCCCTTGTCTTCTTAGTCCAGTCTTGAGTGATTGGGCACTACTTCACTAGCATGGCACGTAGGAAGTTGTACTGATGATTTCCACTCCTACCTTCTTGTTACATTCGTTCTAAGGGGCATCTCTTCCAGTTAAGGAATGCAGCATGTCTTCCTTAAACATAATATTTGGAGTGAATTCTTGTCGCCTATTCTAGTATCTTTTTTTTGCAAAATGCTTGATAATCTCTCTGTATTAGCCGAATATGGATTGTACAGATAATACGTGTACACCCATTTCGGCGCTCCTTGAATGAACTGATATTTATTTTCGGAGAATGAGAGATATCCCAGCCTCCAAAAAGCAGCAATTTCATTATTTTACGGCAACCCAGCAACGCTTCCAATTTTCATGCGTTTTTGCATATATGCAAATTGCAAAAACGCATACTGCATCGACCCTGTGTGTGTGTGTGTGTGTGTGTTCCTGAACTTCAAGGGCCAGTATGTCACAAATTCTAGCTACTGTGGTTCCTTGCGACCTTACTACAGCACGAAATAGTGCAAAAACGCGTGATCGCCACCGGCTCGCCTGATGCATTTTAGTCTGTGTTTTATCGGTGCGGTGCATTAATTTACATAGCAATACTCCTGACGAAGCAAAACACTGCCCAGAAAGTTATCACGGATCAATCCAATAAAAGATACTATAGACAATAAAAGTGCTTGCATTTCAGTATTTCAACATATGCACATAAAAAGTAAGCGAACGCTTGGATGGCTTCTGCAGATGTGTTACATATGCGTCCACCAAACGATGGGTACTAGAGAGAGTTGTATAGCTTAGGATCGAAGGACCTGACATGGTTCAATCTCGTCCACTGTGATAACAGTGGCGTTTCATCACCGCGCCCATTGTCCGGGCGGCATTTGTGACTGTTGACGCATTTCAAATTAAAAAAAAAAGTACAGTTCTTTTGTAGCTCAACAGACAACAGTGATATCTTGAAATGTCCAAGGCCTTAACGAGTACAACCCTGGATGACTACTGAGCTGATAATTCCTTCAAGACATGAAACGAATGTCAAGATCCCAAATAAGCTGGCCGAGCGATACAGCACTGGTCAAAGTAATCGAAAAATCGTCAGATACACAGCGGAAGAATGACTTCAAAACAGCTGACTATAAATCGAAGTAAAATACATTTTCTTCTGCTTTATTTCCCAAACAAATGTGTGTATTTTCATTTACAAAACAGTTTGTGCTAAAAAATAGTGCTACTTAACAGTACAAAGCACAATCAAAGATTAGCCACGTATGCTGTGCGTTCAGTTTCTGGCAAAAAACTCGGAAATTCTGGATCCTGGATTTTGATCTTCGCCCTAATTTGTATGGATTAGCGCTGAATTGCCAACCCAACTTTTTGGACCCAGTTTTTGGATGTATTTCACTTTCAGAAAAAACATAACATCACTCGGCTAAAATTCACCTCTTTTTGACTAAGTTTTCTGACTTCCTTAGCTAAGACTCCACACCCTTGGATGTAAGTATTTAATCATAGATAGATTTTTCGGGCGGTGACGGAGAAACTGAAGCGCTTAGGGATATTTGCCTCCCGGAAAAACAGTTCGTTTAAAAGATGTAACTGGAAGTGCGTCTTTTATGTCGATTGAGATGAATGTTCATAGCAGCAGTGGTTTCAAATAATTGAGAACATACTGACCAGACACAGCGCACACTACGAGTTATTCCATGTGATTTTTTGTGCTGATTGAGGAGAATGCGAGTAGGAAATGACTGATCACAACCAAAATACAAGCATCGATATGGACCTGGATAAGCAGCATTTTTAATAATAACCCAGATTTTCTCAATATTTTTATTTTTTTAGAAAAAAAAATTTTTTTGTCAAATCTCCTCGATAAGATGGCGGAACGGATGGACAAGAGGGGAAGCGGACGCGGGGGAGTGGTGGAAGGAACGGGGAAACACCTGCACTTATTCTTTTAATCCAGGCTGAAACGCACCGGGCAGGCCCGTGCGATCGTGCGTTTTTGCATTGGACTTGAATTACTCAGGTCATTAACTGTAGGAATGGCTGTTGCTTTACACCTACCTTTTGAGGTCACTAGCACAAATCACCATAAATTTTGCATAAAGTAAAAAAAAAAAAAAATACGACGTTGGTAAAAAAAAAAGATGCCAGCAGGAATCAAACTACGGACTGCAGCTGATCAAAGCAAATTTTTTTTGTACTGAATGATAGTTTAGACAAGCTATAGTGACAAGCAGCGCTGATCTTGGGTAAAATACCAAGCATTTGATCTGTCGTTGAGAAAATCAGTCCTACTACGGCTCGCCTATTCGATGATTATTTGGTACTGACTCATGCAAGGGCATCATAACAGCTATCAGCTTGGTTATAAGTAACTGCCGGGAGAACAGATTACTGAATAGCCTTGCTAGCAGACGCTTGTTGTTAAACTACTTCTGAGTGCCTCCGTCTCTTAGAAAACAAAATCTGGAGAACAAAACTTCTGGTTTTCAACTTTTAATTTAATAGTATTCGTCAGAAATTCAGCACGATCAAATATTTTTTATGATACAGTGTGTTGATAGGAAATTTAATTGAAATCATAGGCTAAAAATCAAAATTCACTTTCGCCTTGTTGACATGTGCTGTTGCTGCAAAATTTTTCACTCAGTCTCGAAAAGGAAATGTCTCAAAATGAATAAAGAAACGAAGATGCCTAGCCCTGTAACTGTTTTAGGTGGTACTCCGAAATAGCCAGATTGGTATCACATATAAACAGCAACCAGTGGCCATCCAGTGGTTGGCTACCTCTGCTAAGTGTTGCTTAGATTTCTAAGTTGATGGTGGGTAGAAAGTAGGTGACAAAAAGTGTGAACACACAAACACAGATACACACATGCACACATACACATACACACACAGGTAGCCTCTCCCCAATATGTTTCTTTGCAACTTTTTTCCGGATTGTACCCCAAACATTGATAGAATATTATGGTCCTAACCATCAGATTCCTGATCTTTTAAGCTTTTTGGCATCAGTAATAAAACGTAGAAACGCATATTAATTATGCGTCTATCTGAAAGTTCCGAGTTTCAGATTTAGAAAAACTATGGAGCTGAAATTTGGCAACTTTGTTCCTCACTAGGGAATGGATCCTCAAATGCGCAATGAATGTAAGCCGTCTTAACTTCTTATAGCACGTCAGAAGGGTCTTTAATGGAAACCACTTCCACTTCATTTAAATTGAAATTTGACATAATTTTAAGCCCATTTAAATTAGTATAATTTTACCCTGATTTTGTATGTGGATATTGTTCCGATGCACCTTGAGCGCTTTTTTTGATAGGAACCACTGACCGCAGTCCATGCACCGGTGGAGATCCATTTCCGGGTGCTCAGCTGCTAAGTGTTCAAAGTAATGGTTATCAAGGGTCTGGTGAACCGGGAAACTTTGGTTGCAGTTAATCCAATGACACAGATTTACACCGGCTTTGTTGTGCCTTTTGAGATGCGCTTTAAAATCTTTAAATACTTTTATTGAGCGATTGCATCCGGTAAAACCGCACCGATACTTGACCACAGCAGTTTCGCCTGATGTTTGTAAATTACTGCTAGATATTTCAACGCTCGATCTCGAAATTTGAACAGAATACGTGTCCGGAGCAACATACGAGTTGAATCTGCGAAAAAGATTGGTAGCAGTGCTGTCTGCAGTAATTTCTGGATCAGTTCCTGATATTTGATTCTTGGATTGAACTGCAAACAGATCAGCCTCCATATCCAATATACTCTCCAGGTCAATAAAAGCTGAGCAGTTAGAATTTTCAGGACGAAATTCTTTTCCTTTCTGCACATTAGTTAGTCCTGATTCAATTTTCCGATTAGTTTTAGTCTTTGATTCCTGATTCTCGGAATGAATATCGAGCGGATGAGAACGTTGAAGTTGGTGATTTTTCGAGAGTTCAAAAATCTGCGGGTATTTGGGATTGCATCTGTCTGTTGTTTCCGCAGTTGAAGCAGAATTTGCAGGAAGTGGTTTGATGGCATTTAGTTTGATACTAGATTCAGTTCCACAAATTTCCGCCCCCAATCCTTGGCTTCTAGTTCCGATATCAAATAAGCCAGCCGTCCAAGGCAAAAAATTATCTGCATTACTGTAATTTGGATAGTTAGACTCTTCAGGACTTGAACTCTTTTCTGTCTGGAAACGCTGGACATTATCAGCACATACATCATCGTAAAAGGTTTCTACTTGATGCACTGAATCGCGTAGTGTATCCGGTATCTCAAAATCAACTTTTTCAGACATGCTGTCCAGATTCGCTAGCACATTGGAAACTTGTGTCTGGCTCTCGAGCAACTCATTTTCTTGCTGTATCTGCTGCAGGATTATATAGTCCGTCGGGTCCGGCATTTCGATTTCCATCGAGTGAAGCAAATCATTGAAATCAATGGAGGAAACAAGCGAAGGATCCGGGTGCACATGATGCTGGTGCGAGGCTGTCTCATTCCTGATAACTGCGCAAGGAAAATTCGCTAAAGAGAACAAAAGTATAAGAGAGGTCCGGACTAGTGTAACAGACATTTGAAGGGTTTCATAAGCGAAATGAGGATGACAGCAGAACCTCGCATGTTTTGATAAGCCGATTAAGTTGCTTAATTTATGCAGCACATGCGCCAAAACCTTTTCATACAAATTAAACTCGCTTTTGAACAGAGTACCAGAAAAACGTGTAGAAAAGCTGCCATGTCGTCAAAAGTTACAACGATCTCAGTTGTACAGTGCAAGATAGCACAGGCATACAGAAAATAATTGAGATACCAAAGTTTCCTGTCCTGCTGCTTCGAACGGAAACCTCCTTTACAGAAGGATATGGACCGAAGAGGGAACTGACTCTTTTATTTTTACTGCCTCCTGTTTCTGGTCCCCCTCGCATGTGGTGACATGCTTTTTAAGTCGCCTTTTTAAACTTATATTTTTTATTAATCTGTTTAATTTATGCAGCAAATAAACCGAATTCCTTTTTTGGCAAATGCAATCCGATTCAGGACAAACCCAGCTGGAATGCGCCAGTCGAGCCGGTGCGATCATGCATTTCTGCATAACACTCGAACTAATTAGGTTAACTGCATGAATGGTTGTTTCTTCACATATGCTTCGTGTACTCAATACCGTAAATCATCGTAAATTTTGTATAAACGAAAATAAGCAATTTCCGTTTGGCTATCGTTTCCTGAAAAGACCCAGCTATACAGTTAGGAACTTCTCCGCCAAAAATTTATGTGCCCGTACACGAGAAACACGCGTACCTGGAGAATGAATTTGAAACCTTTAGGTTGTATTTGAACGAGGAACACTTCCCTAAAATCTCAACTTTTCAGCTCTTCTAGTTCCCCAGTTAGCAATTTTCCCGCCAAAACCTTCACGGGGCCGCAAGTAACCTGGGGCACGTTTGGGTACTGGGTTTGAAATCCTTAAGTTGTACGCGGGTCGTGAACATCTCCTTAAAGTTTCAGCCTCACAGCTTTGCTAGTTCCCAAGTTAGCCGTTTTCTCTCTGAAAAATTTCACTGGGTCATACGTGAGAACCACGCATGCCTAGGGGCTAAATTTGATAACACTAAGTTGTACATGGCTGGGAACATCCCTTGAAATTTTCAGCCTTCTGGTTTTCCTCTTTGCCGAGTTAACAATCCTCCCTGTCAAAAATTTTCACGGACTCATGAAAACTACACATGCCTGGTGGCTGAATTTGATAAATATGGGTTGAAAACGGGCGGGAAACATTCCCTTAAGATTTTAACCTCCTAGCTTTTCTGGTTCCCAAGTCAGCGATTTTCGCGCCAGGAACCCTCACGGGGTAGTATGCAGGAACTACGCACGCGGGGGCGGGGGGCTGAATTTGAAATTTTTGAGTTATATTTGGACGGGGAATATAACCTCAAAAGTTTAGCTTTGTAGCTTTTCTGGTCCTCGAGTTAGCAATTTCCCCACCAAAATTTTCACGCGCTCGCACGCGGGGCCCAGATGTGCATGAAGGTTGTATCGTAGCCCTGGGGTGGCACTTGGCAAGAAAAACAAGTGGCAAAATTTTGGCGCTGGAGCTTGCTGGGTTGCGCAGTTGAAATACCCGGACAGACAAACACACACACATACACGCACAAGGTCATCACAATATGCT